TAATTTTTAAAATATTTTAGTTATTTGTTCGTTCGCTTCAAGTGTAAAGCATTTAAACTAAGGTTTCTTCTTATTTTCCTTGGCAAAAGAGCTCCAAATAACTAACAAAGATAAATACATAACTAAAGTATTTTAAAAGTTCTTAAACTTTTTGTGAAAGTCGCCAATTTGGCGACCTTTTTCCTCCTAGATAAAAGTTATCAAAATCAAAGTCTTGTTTCCAATTTTCACACATTTTTATGAGTCCAGATAATGTAGCATTGGAATAAGCTTTTAATTACTGAAAAATAAGATCAGATACGCATCTCATTTTCTCTGAACTGTGGCTTTTCTCTGTGTTGACGTTTTACACCATTTTCAGAACAAACTTAGAAGGAGCTGACTGCAAATCGATCTAACGGTCATGAATAACCATTGCAAACTCACATCAATAATGAAAACAATATATTATTTGCCAAAAAGAATTATTTCAAGCGACGACAGAACCTTTGAAATCCAGGCTTAAGCTTATTCTTTAGAAAGTAAGGAAAAACAAGTAGAAAATACCTCGTTTGGTTGTTAATTTCGGGTAGAACACTGAAGAGACACATTGTTTTGTTTCTCAAGCAGGCTTTTTGAGCTGTGTCCAGAATAAAGAGCTCATCGATGATCTGCTTTCCAAATATATTAATAAACTGCGCTTTCTGTTTGGAATTTTTATTTGCCATTTGCTTCAAAATTTGCTCTATTCATTATTAAAATCCTCATGGGATTGGTCAAATACATAAGTCATGCAAAATTTTGGATAAGATTAACCATTTTTTGTGCTTCTAGTAAAGTAGTAGTAACTAAAACAATTTTTGCTTAGTTTTTAAATAAATGAAAAAAAGCCATTCAAACCCAATCTGGTTTTGATACATGAACTTATTGTCTTTTTTTTTCGTTGGTTTTAATAGGAAAAAACAAGAGTACAAATAGGAAGTTAGACCATTAACACAATTGAACTGTCGCAGATATTTTTCAAAGCAACAAAGGATCTAGTAGAGTGATGTATAAATGTAATATGAAATTGCAAATGTAATAATTATTTTAATAGTTAATAATAATAATTATTATTATTTTAATAAGAATATTTGAGGATATAAAAAATAATAGCGAACTGAATGCAATATCAGGTAATAAAAGCAGTAATTATTCTACATTAAAATACTTGGTATTATTAAAATAGTAGGGGATTTGCGCAAAAATTACACGAAGGTTATAAAAGCAATAAATATATTACCTTAAAAGTTTTTGTGGTAATTAACGAAACAGTGAATTCGCGCGAAGGCCAAAAAGGTAGTTATTGTTTTGCGTATTTGAGGTGTTATATGAGGCAAGTAAACTTAATAAATAACGAGAGAGGCTATAAACGTAATAATTTTGTGCCAAGACGTTATAATAATCTTAACTATTGTAGTAATACTGGATTAACGATGAAGTTTTTTCAGGCTACAAATGTTGTGATAGATAGACGTAAAAATAATTTGAAGCTAAAAGTGTAATTGTCAATTTGCGCTAAGATTACTTGAAGCTATAAATGTAATAATAAGAATGAATATTTTAGTTGATTAAAAATCTTCACTGACTTCAAAAATATGCAGATGGAGATAAAAAAAACATGTTTTTAGCGCTCAGAAATAGGCACCCATTTTCAAGATTTGTCAGGCTAGAATGGGCGCCTATTTTTGAGCACTTGCAACCTCTCGACTTTTATTTAGATCTGCTTATTTTTGAAATCAATGAAGCTTTTTCTTTAATCAAGTAAAGCATTACCGCCTCAGTTTTTTGTGATTATTTATTTAAAAATAAAGATTGCTTGAGACTATAAATGAAATAAATAATGTGTTATCGATAAAATTTTCCCAAGCTATAAATATTAATATATTAAACTATAGATCACCCGAGGCCGTAAATGTTACAGAGGGCATACCTAAAAATTATTAAAAGTTAAAAATATAGCAGTGGACTAAAAAGAAATTTGAACATTCAAAGGATCAGCAAATTTGAATTTCTATAAAGATTTTGTTTCTTACATAAGTGTTGCTTGTACACATGCTGTTAGAAAAATTGGTTCAATGTTCACCGATGGTTCAAGGTAGCCACATAGTGTCGAGCCAATAACCTGGGTACCATGAACCATAGCGTGGTTCAAATTTTCTCCAACATCAATAAAGTGTTTAATCGATTTATGATAATTTTCAAGTTGAACTATAAGATTGTCTCATCAAGTATAAGAAGTAAAGAAACATGGTTCAATTTGTCACAATATTGAACTTGCACCGAACTTTAACGATATTGCTGCGTAGTATATTCCAAAATTTCTGGCGCTGTAGATAATTTTATTAAAAGTCAATAATCTATTATAGCTCGTATTTAAAATAAAATAATGCATAGAGATGAAAAATATCAATTTGCTATATTAGACCACTTTTGCTCTCATTTCTTCATTTTGCAGCGCTTTTTATTAAAGCCATCTATAATAGGCTAGATGAAAGAATATGGATGCGTTCGAAATAGAATTTCAATAAATAATTTTCCATGCCAGCCTATAAATCAAGCCAATCAATTTAATTAACTACACCCAAATGACCCCCTAACTACGCGAAGGGCGACACCACACGCTTACCTTATTAAAATGCCAAATCGATTTCAACAAAGAGCGATTAACTCTAATTACATTGTTTCCTACACCACTTCCTTCGCCAAATAATTCGCCAATATTAAATGAGTTCAAGCGATTAATAGAAAGCTCGTCGAAAAAGGATTTTCTAGAAAGACTAATGTGGCTTTCTAGGCACCAACCGCTAACTCACACATTTCCAAAGATAAAATAATTAATTCGTCCTTTGTCATAACCATTAATGGCTGATAATTAAACGTCTTCAAATGCCTTGTTATTAAGCGGGAGAAAAAATGGGCATCCAAGCAATTAATAGCCGATGTCATAGGATCCGACGTATCCGGTTTCAAGCACAAAAAAAAGATCCGGTAGTCCGGATTTACACTGGTCGCTGTGAGACAGTTTTTGATTAATTGCCGTGCCAAAATTAACGAGCCTTTTTTGAGTATGAACGAAATTGCTTTGGGTTTTAAAAAATGAAAAAAAAAAAGTAGTTACAGCAGTGGTTTGAAAAAGAGGTAAAAAATTTCATTTCTAGAAAAATTCTACAAAAATGGGATAAGAAACAAGTAAGGCATGTTCTAATTAAGGGTAAAAGTTATTACCTTTTTTTTCATTCTTGATCTCAAGAAAATTTAAATTACATCGGGACTTTTAATCTTTTCAAAGATTTCTTTGGTCGTATTTGTCACATGATATAAAAGAAGTTTCTTATTCAGATTCAGTACTTAATAATCATAAATTGTTCGAATATTTCGTTAATGATTTCATAGAGTAATAATTTAATGCTTTCTCTAATGTTTGAGGAAATCAGGAAATTGTATTTTTTTTTCCTTAAACCCTCTTATTCATAAAATTTTAATAAAACTGTTATTGTTATTGTAGTTATCGTTACATTTCCTTCAAGTAACTAAACTACTTAAAGTTGAAAGAACTATTTTAAAGTACAAATTGCGGTTTCCTTTAAATGTTCGAATACTAAAAGTTAGAATTCAATAGTAAAAATTACAATACTAAAAGTAAAAATTCAGAGCAGAGAATATTAAAGAATGCTTGCACGAGTTTCCAATTTTGCTTTTATTCTACGAAGAACATTAGTTTTACTTCTGGTTCTAATTTTTTCTTTTATCTGAGAAAGTTTTTTGGACATTTAAAATAGTAATTTATCTATGTAAATAAACAAAAGAGTTCAGGTGTGCGTGTGTCGACCTCTCTCAAAACTCTAGAACTTTTTGGCTCAAATCTGTCCAGAATTCGAAAATCAGTATGTAAAATTTCAATAAATATGGTCAGATGGAAGGGTTGAGAAATAAATTTTCCTCATACAGCTTTCGTCTACTAATGTCGTGAACAGGGTTCGAATCCTTGCAATGGCTGGGCGATACGAATTCCCCATCCGGCTTGTGCGGACCACAGTGCTGACGTGAAATATCCTCAGTGGTAGACAGATCATAGGTTAGAGTCCCCTTGCCGTGAAGCTAGCATGGGAGATTCCCGTGGTTTTTTTCTCCAGGTAATGCATATATGGATTAGTTCCATCAAAAAGTCCTCCACGAAGGCAAATTTCTCCCAATAACCTTAGACAGGAGTTCCCTTGTCTTCTGGATTGGGTTTAAAATTACAAGGCTACGGAGTTGAACATTAGTAGTCGTAAACCCAAAATATTGGTATATGTTGCTCCATTTTGGTTTTTGGTGATTATCTGCGAATACTCTGTTTTGATGAAACCATCCACAGCAGTAGTAGTAGCAGTAATTAATTTACATCGCACTAGAGCTGCACAATGGGGTATTGGCGGCGGTTTAAGAAACACGCATGAGGATGACCCTGAATACATGCCATCATAATTTTTAACCCCTGAAGAGAAGATGGTTTCCCTGCTTTGGTAGATTGACGATCTGCGCATGAAGACGATCTGCGCATTAACTTTACGGTAGAACAGTTTAACGAGGACTGATACCGCGTAACCAGACACTTCTCCAGACAGACTGATTAAAGTAGTCGCTGCCAGTGTTTGACTTCGGTGTTCTACTGGAAATCGTATATTTACGACCAGTCCACTGCGGAACCCTCCCACGACAGATGTACCCATATCTATTTCTCGCGTTTCATTAAATGCTATTTTAATGTCTGACTCTCATGTAGAGACATATTTTACTCATATAATATTCAGCGTATTTATTCGTTCACCGAACTTTGTGCATACATCTTGTAGAAAGAGTGTAACTTTAACTGTAACTATAGTTTCTTTAGTGACATAATTTTATTAATTGCTAAATTGTATTTAATGCATCTAAAAATGATTTAATATTTAATTCAACCATATGATAATTAATGTTATGAAATTTCCTTTTCACAGTGAAACCTGTATCATTGCGCGTACGTGGACCAACAACACCAGTAGTCGCCGGAGAAATGGTTTCTTTAACATGTACGGTCGAAGGTTCGAGACCAGCAGCTTCCATCACTTGGTTCAACAGATCACGTGAAGTGGAACCCCAACCTCCAGCATCGCAAGATCTGATGAGTGATGCCACATACCGGACATCTTCTACACTAGTTTTTATAGCCTCGCGGCACGACCATTTGGGTGATTTTTGTTGCCAAGGTCTCAATGAAGTTCAGAAACTACAGCATCAACCACCTCTTCTGCATGCAGTGACTTTAGATGTGCTTTGTAAGTTGATAGCATTTGATTTTTCATCTAAACTATTTCTAAAAAACCTTATACGGACATCATCGCAGTTTATTAGCTTATAATTACTCAAAAGTATGAACAATACGTAGATATTCAACATTTAAATATTCTTTTGTTTTTCTTGAAAAAAGTATTAATTTCACCTAAATGAGCAGTAATGTTTAAATTAGTTTTTATCTAGGAATGAAAATGATTTAATTTTACAATATTAATTTAATAAAGTTTTAGCAAATAAATAAATCTACGTAGAAATTTATGTCATCAACGCCAGTCTATAAATGAAATAACAATTTGAAAACTATTATTTAAATTCATTCATTGGAATATATACTTGCGTGTTTAGGTTCTTTAAAAAGATTTTTTTTAAGCTTTCAAAAGTTTTCTTTACATACTTTAAAGTAAAATTTGACTAAATTGTTTGGCGTAATAAATAACAAAATAAATAAAAGTTTAATAAATATAAGTTTCCAAGATTTTAATCGATCAACTAATAATTTTTAGCATCTAGCAATTTTGAAAGCAGCAAGTGTCTAAATGCTTACTTCTTAAATTATTAATTAGTCTATTGCTTCATGTCCTTCAGTTTTAATTTTTCCATGATTTGATTATTTCTTTGAAAGCGTGTAAAATCAAAAGTTGTAATATCTCTCCAATGTTCTCCCTTATTTGAATTTTAATTCAGTTAATTTGAATTTAGCAGTAAAATAAGAGAATCAACAAATTTATTGAACATATTTAATATTTCTGTTCAACTGTGATAACATATAACATTTATAAAATAGATACTATGATAAACATGTTTAAGCAAGAATAATTTTGTAAAGATTCTAAAATCTTTTTAAATTTTTGCATTAAATTATGACAATTTATCAGAAAAATAAAAGAATCTTCAAATTTATTGCACATATTTAATATTTGTATTTAAGTTTGATGGCATAAAATCTTTACTACAAAGATACTATAATAAATATATATAAACAACAATATTTTATAAGGATTCTCAAATCTTTATAAGTTTTGCATTAAATTATGACAATTTAACAGTATAATGAAACAATCCGCAAATTTATTGCACATATGCAATTTTTGTATTTTACTTTGACAACATAAAATATTCACAACATAGATAATATAATAAACATGCATTAACAAGATTATTATTATAAATATTTTCAAATCTTTATAATTTTCACATTAAATTATGAAAATTTTTGTAAATCAGATAAGTTGTCATTGGTGTTAACGTTTTTACAACTTATTTTGACTGCAACTTATTATTACTTAAAATGAGAGAATATTTAAAATTTATTTAGAAACAAAATAAAAATTTAATCAAAAAGACTAAATCAACATAAACTAATTGCATTAATAAACTTTAAAAATAATCCTTTCATTTAAAAAGACTATAGTTACTCTATTCTAAACACAGTAGTTTCAATGATTTTCGAGAACACAGATATTTATAAGAGGGAGTTTTGAGATGAATAATTATATTTTGCTTGTTATATATATATATATATATATATATATATATTATAACTTCCAAAATGTATAACTAACTGTAGAGCACTAATATTTATTTTTACGTATCTAATTTTAGTTAGAACTTCCTTCCAACAGATAAATTTGATATTCTATTTTCGGAGATAACAAAATGATCTCTGAAATATTCATCATAGATTTATTAATTCTATTAAAATAACCAATATTTAGTTTCAGTTCTCCATGGCTTGAAAGTTTTACGTCTACAATTTCAAAACCATTTTAATCTGAACCATTTGTGCATTTCCCAAACGTTTAATAATGGATAGACTTTCGAATCGAATGGAATTATATCTTTCGCATAACTCATATACTTTTACCTTAGTTATTTCGTTCTTCCAACAAGGTATTATACATAATACTTTTATCAGTTCCATTCATATCTCCATATTTCATCCGGGTCTCTGAAATGATTTTTTTTTCTTCACTTTCTCATAATATTGCAAAGCATGTTTCAGTATTTCTTCCTTTGGAGTTCCAATGGGTACCTATAAGGTGCATCTGTTGCGAGGAATTTTAAATCACATGATATATTTTCAATTGGAAATGAAAAATATTGGTAGTTTACATATCGCTTCATCGTTGGAAAATTCATGAGACTCGGCACTCCCAAAAATACATTACAATATCTTTTAGGCAGAAGGAAGAAAAAAAATAATATTTTATGCTGCTAAAGAACTGAAAAGATTTGAAAAAGAAAATTCCTTATTGCCCATGAATAGTAGAATTTTCGTGGAAATCTCGCGAAATTTTTGTTGTATGCCTTTTAAGAATAAATTGTTAGATATTGCTGAAATTTCTTTTAGAAATTCATTTTGAATTATTAGCACTTCAGATGGATTTGATGAATATATATTTCAGTTGCTTCTTTTTCGGTGGCAAATATGGGAAAATAAAAACAAGAGGGGAATTTTTTTGATAAAATTTCAATGAATTTTTCTATGGAGTAGCTAAGTAATTGGTTTCAAATAGAATTAGCGCAAAAGTGATTTTTTCCGATTCAGTTAAGACTATATTCCTAAGATCTTTCTCTAACGTCTGAAAATATGTGAATATTTTCTCGTTTTTAGAATATTAAGTTTGTGTTTTCTTATATTCCTCGTTCAAAGTGCGAATCAATGAAAGGTGCAATTAAATTATTAAAACAAAACAATTTTTTACCAATCAACAAAGGGTTCAAACATAGTTAAAAGATCAATATTTTCTCCGTTTTTTTATTTTAAGGGAATATTATTTTAAATGCATTTTTTCTCTGTTTTCTTTGCCCAAAATTTTTAGAATTCTTTTAGAATCACACTTTTAGAATTGTTTCGAAAAAAAGGGTTACATAACAAAATATTTAATTGTTATTTTACCATTTTAAGCCGGGTTAGCCTGGTCGGTAGGGGGCTGGGCCCATGTCCGAGAGTTCGGGGGTTCGGCAAAAGTAGTAAAGTGAGTTCCCCGTGTAGTAAAGTGACTGATGCACGTTAAATCTGTTGAGTCGCAAAAGTCCTCCATGTTCCCATAATAAATCATAAGCTCTGGGGGTACTGGTTTGGAGAAAGATCGTTCTCAGATTCAGGTCAAAATTACGATCTGTGGATGAATAAATGGATGTATGAATGGGTCCGCCCTATAAACGGGTGCGACGTGTGGTTTGGCAGAAGTCGAATTCTTGGCCATAAATGGGGCCACTGAAAAACAAGAAATGCACACTCCACCTTAAATTTTCTCGGTTTAACCAAGCAGGCTTGCCCGTGTGGCGAGTAGCCTTAGAAACAACAACAACACCATTTTGATATGGACAACCAAAACAGTCAAATAACTATAATAAAAGAAGATGCTAATCAAAAGATTATTGTGAGAAAAATCATTTATTTACTGTTTTCAAATAATACGGTTAAGCAACCAACATTTTATCCTCACCAACTATGCCCATGGCCAATGAAAATTTTAAGTAAACTTTGAAAGTTATAAGATAAACCGTGTGATAGGGATTACGAATTCATTTTTTATTTTACATCATCGGATACCTTATACAATATATGTCTAAGGATGTCTAAGGATCTTACAGTAATAAGTGTGCGGGGAACACTTCATGAACCATTTAGTTCCTCGCAGATGTGTACATATTTTAGTCGATAGGGCTCTGTCAATCTTATAACCCGTTAAGCTAAGGTTTGAGTCCCAGCGAGAAGTTTTCAGTGATATGCTCTCCTTAATGGGCAACCCAGTATTAATGCAACAGATTTGTTTACCACATACTGTATAATATTTCCTATCTCTCACAATAGATGGCACCACTAGATAAAGTAATTAAACGGCTCTCTTGACAAAATACTACTCAACTAAACCTAACTCTAATGTCTATTACTAAAAAAATCTAACTTCAGTATCCAATAAAATTTTATTTTCACGGTTTTACAACCATGCTAGTTTTAGTTACAAAACAGCATAGCATTCGCGATTTTTTTAACCATTCCAAATTATCAATTTACGGGTCTCAAACCCGTAAACATAAATAAATGTTCCGATCCATAAACTTTACAGATTGACAGACTGTCCAATTATACTTAGAATATAGTCAAAACCATTTTTAATACCTTTTTAAATCAAAAACTAGTATATAATAAGTATATATAACAAATATTCTGGTAAGTAGAATGATTTAATTCAGTAATTAAAATTCATGCGTAGGAATTTTCAGTTTATATGAAGTAATTTAATTCATTATTTGTAATAAATTAAATACCTATAACTAAGAGTAATAAAATAGATTATTAAAACGGAATTCCATTTAAATGAAACGAATTGTATCTGGAATAATCCAACTCATTGGTCAAATTTTACTAATGAATTTCTAAATAGTTTATTTAAATGAAATTAATTTTATCATTAATTAATCAGACTTATAAAACCGTACACATTTTTCACCTTAAAATATATTCTCTTCTGAATACACATGTATAACAGCAAAATAAAGATTTTTTTAAATAAAATATAAACCAAATTCATCGATCTAGTATTAGTTATATTACCAATATCGATAATAATTGAGCATTCCAGAAACTATTCTTAATTTTTTGTAGAATGAATTTAACTTGAATCTTTGTACTAAAATAAAGAAATCGGTTGAAATTTAATCAAATAATTTTGAATCATACGACGCAACACGAATAAACATGACGCTGCTAATAACGTTACGGCAGTTTGATTAACAAAGACATCATTTTTAAACACTGCTGAGCAACAGAAACCCTCATTAAATCCTGGAAAAGTTCTATAAATGAGTGGGGGTGGGCAGAAGCAAGAGGTACTCATATTTTATATCTAGGGTAAGGGAAGGAACATGAGTTCTTTTCTCCAGGGATAAGTCATGACTGCAATTTGTGCCTAATTATAAAAGGGATTCATAATTCTCTTTTGGCGCAAAATAGACTTTAATTAATACTCGC